TACCTGAAACTAAATATATTTAATCCTGTCTCCAGGATGCAAACTTTCTCTCTCATCCATTCCTTCTTGTCCATTTTAAATGTCTCCATGTCTGTCTGGTTTTTAAAATAGTTCCTGTTTAAAAATAAATAAATAAATAAACAACACAAAAAACAAACAAAAAAAGTAGCTTGATTGAGATATAATTCACCTACCACCCAGCTGACTCCTTTAAAGTGTACAATTCAGTGGGGGTTTTTTTGTATGTCCACAGATACATACAATCATCATCAGACTCATTTTTAGAACATTATCATCACCTCAGAAAGAAACCCCGTTTCATTTTTGCTGGCCCCACCTCTCTGTCTCCTTCCCTTCCACCAGCTCTAGGCAACCACCGCTCTAATTTGTGTCTGTAGCTTTCCCTGATCTGGAGGTTCCATAGGAATTGAATCAGATAATATGTGGTCTTTGGAGACTGGCTGCTTTCACTTAGTATAATGTTCTCAAGGCTCGTCCGTGTTGTAGTGTGTATCAGTGCTTTGTTCGTTTTTATGGCCAAATCATATTGTATTGTATGGATCTCCCACAGTTTCTTTATCCATTGATTACGGGCATTTGGGTGGTTTCTTTTGTTTTTTGTGTTTTTTGTGGTTTTTTTTTTAGCTGAGCCATCCTGCCACCTGTTGGCAGCTCAGCTTGGGCCAGGAATCAAACCGGTGATCCTGTTGCTCAGAGCTCGCACTCTTGCGCGAGCTCTTAACCAACTGAGCCACTCGGCCGGCCGTGGGTGCTTTCTTCTTTAAAGCACCCTTACGCAGTTTCTTCCCTGTCTCTGTTCTCTAACCCTCTCACCTCATTCCGTGCAGGACCCCTGGAATCCGTTCTGTATCTGATTTTTCCCTTGTAAAAATAATCTTTTTTGTGCGTCTCCAAAGATGTATAGCCATACTGAAATGTTTCATATTACATATGTGGGATTATTTCCTTCTTCTAATGCAGTCTAATTTTTTTCTTTGTCTTTTTTCTCAGCTGTCTCTCCTTCCCACCACCCCCAGCAGTATCCATCCCTCCCGCCCCCGCAGTAACAACCTAGCAGGCACCTTTCTGTGCTTTTTCTGCACGTGTATATTTAGACATATATAATTGTGCACATATACATAAATAGAGGAGGGTTTTTTTTTCCCTTGGTGGGGCCATAGTTTGTTGTACAAAAATGATGATCATACGTACTTTTCTATGTCTCGCTTTTTCACATTGTGAAAGGCCTGAGAGTCAGCTGGGGCATCTTTAATTTGGTCTTATTTTTTAATGGCTTCGTAACATTTCATGATGTGCATGGTAGCAAAATATACCGGGTTTCCAGTGTTGCCATTGCCAACAAGAGGACCCTTCTGTGGCTTCGGTCTCTCCACACTCATCTCCCGCTCCAAGCCCTTATCTTGACAACAGTGGCCATCAAGGAAGAGCTCAGCCCACCAGCGGCCCAGGCCTCTCCCCGCCTCCCCCTGTTCTGTCTCAGACTGACTACTGAGCATGTCAGGCTCTCTCAGCCTCTTAGCTGTTCCTGCTGTGTTCTCTGTGTGGAATGGCCCATCACTCCTTAACCAGCGTTAAGCAGGACTTGTAAGAGCCCAAACTCTGGGTCAGACCTGGGTTCAAATTTCTGAGCCGCCCATTCCCCTCCTCAGTGTTTGTCTCTCTTCTGTGTTCCCAAGGAAGTTAATTTTAATCTTTAATGTGGCTTTGTATTAGACTTTCTACTATACTATGTAAGTAGTCATGTTTGGTGTACCGTCACTCTCCTCAATTTCAGGGTCCTTTGAAACTACATCCAGCCCCTCTGAGGCTATGCAGTGTATGGGGGCAGGAGTTATAGGAAATCTCTGTACCATCCTGTCAATTTTGCTCTGCACCTACAGCTGCTGTAAAAAAAAAAAGAAAAAGAAAACTGTCTTTAAAAAAACACAAACTATGGCAACAATAAAAAGATGACTGGTTGGAGGGAGGTAGAAATGAATAGGCAGAGCACAGAGGGTTTTTAGGGCAGTGGAACGGCTCTGTGTAATGGTGACTTCATGTCACTCTACATTCTAGACTGTACAAGAGGGAATCCTAATGTAAACTACGCACTTCGCAGGATAACGATGTGTCAGTGTAGGTTTATGCGTTATAGCAAATGCACCACTCTGGTGGGGAGTGGTGGGAGGAAAAAAAAATCTAGCCTGCACCTTTTTAAACATCCTCCCGTGGAACCTTGTACGTTGGGGGTTGAGGAACTTAATATTCAGTAACTGGATTAAGCCCAGACTCCTGTGACCCTGATTGCCAGGGTGTTTGGCAGTTCCTTCAACATGTGCCCTGTTGCTGCCTTCAGAGCCTCACTGTTAGTGCATTGCAGGCAGCCCCCTGTGGGGCTGAGCTCCATCCAGTCCTGGAGAACTAGTTCCGGGGAAGCCTGGAGCGCGTCAGCCAAGTTTTGAAGGCCAGCGAGCCTTAAGCCTGTGACTTGTCCAGCCTCCAGCCGTGTCATCTCTGAACATGAAATTCCCCAGGAAAGGAAGTGGCACCTCCAGAGACAACCGCCACCAGTGGAAATACAGGTTTAACCCGCATGATTGCAACGTGGGTTGGCCCTGGCGACAATCTGCCTGTAGACCCCCCTGCCCCTGGTTAAATTTCCGCAAAGGGGCAGAAACACAATCGCAGTGGGCGCCTGGAAAGAGCGGCCACTCCTGGTGGCTCGCCCTCCCCTCCGGTGTCCCCTCCCTGGGCTCTATGAAATCCTACAACCACACCACACTAATTAGCCCGAGAATGGAAGGGGTTGTCATGGTGACCGAGCACTTTTTAAAGCACAGGAATGGTGTTCATTATTGTTCAGTGTCTTTAGCTGTGGCGAAAAGGTCAGTGTGGCCGTTGTTTTCCATATGAATTTTGGCCCCAGAGCCAAACTGAAGGTGGAATGTTCCTCGGAGAGACTGGAAGATGGTAAGTGTGGCTGAACTTTTGGGGTGGGGCACCCCTTTAGTTGTATTTTTTTTTTTAGAATGTTTTAATAACGAGTGCCAAACTAAGGAATTGTATGGACTTTGTTAAATAGAGATTGGAAGTAAAGTAGTAAGGAAACACAGGCTGGGTCAGGAATGGTGAAAGCTTGAGAGAGATTTTAGAGAGTTTTTTAATTTAAAAAGTTTTGGAGGATCGAATGATTACAGATTAAATGAGTGGGTTTCTCTGATCATGAATTTAGTCAAAGTTGACTAAGTCTGATGCTTTGGTTATTCGGTGTTTGTTTTATGTTAGCTCTACATTAGCCTTTCTAGATTGCTGCTCATCAGATTATATTCCCAGATAAATATAACAAGCATTTTAACCAACTACCTGAAGAACAGTTGCTACTCTCCATTTGTTACTCCAAACATTAAGGTAGCAAAGTAACCAAGGGTGATTTTGTTTTTATGCTTTTATGTTCTCCCTGCTTTTCTAAGGATATATAAAATGGAATTGTAATAGATATGTATGATATGGGGGGGGGAGCTGGGGGAGGAGCGTTGTAACTTTGTGAGGGGTGAGAACTAACTAGTGCATTGTTTTGTACACCTGAAACTAATAAAAAAAATAATAATCAAGACTAAAAACCTGGGAGCCACAATTCTTGGGATGTTTGCCCTAATTTATTGGCTATACTTGGGTGGAATACAGCTGAGTAAAGACAATTTAACCAGTGTTTATAGAAGAAATTAAATATAAGTCAGCTTCCTGGAGATGATGGCAGCCAGTCCATCCAAAGCTGTAAGGGAGATGTGCAGAGCATTCCTTAAATTTATTTTTTGCTAGTTTGGAAAGCGTGCAGAATAACATGGCTCTCAGCCTAATTTTGTGTTCGTAACCAGTTGCGTTTTTATGGCTTGCAAATTTAAGTTACTCTCCCTTTTTTTTGTCCTTTTTAACAACGTACTTATATCCTATGGCACTATTTTTCAGCCACTTTATAAACAGTTGTGTAGGATAACAAAATAAAACTAGATGAAAAGGAATGGGTATTGAATTTATAAAACAAATCACTGCCCACAGAGCCGAGAGTGGAACTGGCCTACTTTTGGGCTTTACTCTGAAAGACTTATTGTCCTGGCAGCGATGGCAGTTTGTTTGGCAACTGAGTGAATAATACATTTCAGAATGTGAAGTCTTGGTTTGATTTCCTCTGTCTTTAATTTGCATGTGCTGGGATTAATTTATTTAGTGATCATGGTGTGGAGCATTCCATAAATAGGGTATTTGACTAGAAATTGAAAAAAGGAAAATTCTTTTTGTCTCTTTTCTCCCCTTGCGAGCTCTCTTTCTCTGCCCTCCCAACCCCCNCAGACGCTCCCTGAGGGCAATGCTTCCCAGGAACCTGGCGCCATTGGTAGCACCTGGGGACAAGCTGGAGGAACCCCCCAACCCCCACCCCCCGGCCCTCATTGGGTCACTGTATTCTTTAGCCAAAAAGGCTTTACATGCCTTGGAACTGAAGCCTTAAAAAGTAAAGAAAGTGACATTTGTGTGATATTTTAGATTCTTTGGTGGTATATTTATGGTATTTGTAAAACAATAAAAAATTTGAACATGGATATTAATATCAAGGCCTTATGGGTGTCTTTGGAGATATAATGGTGTTGCAGTTTTATTTTTTAAAATGATGCTGATATAGGTGTATCCACATGAGGCAGTGTGACATCTGGGGCTTGTTTACCAAAACTCCTAGGGCAGGCAAGTGGGCTTATAGGTGGGGCAGGATTGACGGGTGATGGTTGTTGAAGCTAGGTGGTGGGTACATGGGGTGGGTTCATTTCTTTATTGTGTATTTTTGTGTAGGTTCAGTGTGTGTGTGCGCGCGCGTGTGTGCATATGTATGTGTGCGTCTGCATGCATGTGCGTGCGTGCCTGTGTGTGTGTGCGTGCATGTGTGTGTGTGCGTGTGTGTAGAACCGTGGTGGGGTGGCCTTGTTAACCTCCCACCGTTTTGCCTGTTGCAGATGCCAGACCACTTTGACCAGGCGGTTGTGCTGAACCAGCTGCGGTACTCGGGGATGCTGGAGACGGTGCGGATCCGCAAAGCTGGGTATGCAGTCCGAAGACCCTTTCAGGATTTTTACAAAAGGCAAGACAGAAGGGAACACACCCTCTTTCTGTGTGAAGGGGTTGGGAAAAAAGGAAGTTAGAGTAGACGGTGACGCGGGTGCCTCTCTGTTGCAGATATAAAGTGCTGATGAGGAACGTGGCTCTGCCTGAGGACGTCAAGGACAAGTGCTCGGCCCTGCTGCAGCTGTACGACTCGTCCCACAGCGAGTGGCAGCTGGGGAAGACGAAGGTAAAACACAGCGCAGGAACAGCCACCCCACCGAGCTGTAAGAGGTGTTCGCTGTGCTGCTGCTGACCGGTTGGTTTTTAACACTGGGAAGGCACGCGTGGGATCACGCCCGCCATAATGGTCTGTCCTCCAAACAGTTAATGCTTTATTTGAAGTCCTTAACTTCTCAGGGACTCAGTTTTCATTGAGGGACATACTGAATCATCGGATCCTAAGGGTTTCCGTATGTGTGTTCATTCAGGCAGCCAACAAATGTTTCCTGATGAGCAGCTCCGTGCGGGGGGAGTGCCTGGCTGCCTCCCGTGTCCAACAAGATGTCTGCTTTCTTGCTGTGTCCTCACATGGTGGGGGACAGAGCGCGAGGCCTGGGCTCTTCCTTATTAAGGCACTAATCCCACCATGGGGCCTCACCTTCATGACCTCATTTCAACCTAATAACCTCTTAAAGGTCCTGTTTCCAAATACCATCACTTAGGGGGTTAGGGCTTCAGTGAAAGGTTTTGGTGGGGACACAAGCATTCAGTCCGCAACACTGACCAGTGTGAGTTCAATGACAAGTATTTAGGCATCACGTCAGGGCCACTCAGCAAGGGCGCGTGTGCAATGGACATACTCTTCTGTTCGTGAGGAACCTAAACTGACCAGGGGTTGAAGGTGCAGGCATCTAATAGAGTGGTATTGTGTTATCTACTGCCGTGCAACAAACCACCACAAACTTAGCAGCTTTCATAACACACGCTAATTATCTCACAGTGTCCGTGGGTCAGGAGTCCAGGCGCGGCTTACTGGGCCCCCTCCCCAGGGTCTCCCAAGGCTGCAATCAGAGTTGTGTCCGGGGCTGCCTTCCCTCCTGGACCTCGGGGTCCTTTTCCAAAGCTCGTGTGGCCCCAGCATCCGATTCTTTGTAGTTGTAGGACTGAGGTTCCCGTTTGCTTGCTGGCTGCCCCCTGAGGGGGCGCGCAGCTCCTAGAGCCCCCTCCTGCCCCGGTTCTGTACCATGTGGCCCCTCCCTACCCCTCCCTCAACATGGCCACCCACTGCATGGCCAGCGGGAGAACCTCTTGCTCCGGCTTGCTAAGGTGGTCTTATATAACGTAACGTGTTCACAGACGTGACATCTCATCCCTTCTGCCATGTTCTGTGGGCTAGAAGGAAGTCGCAGGTTCCATCCACGCTGGTCAGATTAAACAGGGCCTAACTCATTGGGGGTCGCCTTCGGTGTGTCCTCACAGGCTTATGGGTCTATCTGGAATTCTACTTCCCCCTCATTCAGCTGACTCATCCTTCAAGTCTCAACTTAGAAGTAGATTGGACAGGAATCCTTTTTGACATTCTTCAGTGCACCCCCTCCCAAAAGCTCACCCCAAACCTGGGTTAAGCCGCCTCCTCTGTCGTCTCACCATCATCCTGTTTTTGGCTCCATTGTAACACTTAACATGCTGTATACTGTCATGCCATCTTGTCATTGCCTGCTGACTGACTTGTCCACAGTCCCCCGGTGGAGAATGTAGAGTGAACTCTTCTGCACACTGGACGTAATAGGAACTCAGTCAGTGGCACAAGGGCATCATAGGTTTGTCACTCAAGGAAGACTTCCTAAAGAAGGTGGCGCAGGTGCAGTTCTTGGCAGTACAATGTCATTTGCTCTGATTTTTTTAATCAGAAAGATATTGCATTCTCTTTAAACCAGTATGCTCCTCCTGCCTCACTGTTTTATACAGCAGAGGAGCATCAAAGGTCGTTTTGACTCACCCAGCCGTTAACAGTCTCTTCTCAGCTCTGAGGAGCCAGTCCGACTCCCCTTACTTACATTATGGAAACCAGGCCCAAGCCAGGCTTGGGACCAGGCGTGTTGTAGCACAGGGGATACAGACTTAAAGATACGGGCATTGCCCTCAGTGTACTGTGTTGCTGGGAGATCAGACATCCACATGCATACAACTGATAAATCCCACAATATTATCTCTTTAAGGAATAAAGATACAGTTTCCCCAGGGGAGAGTTCACCATGGATTGAAATGGTCAGGGAAGTACTCAAGAAGAGGAAATCTTTTTTTTTTTTTTTAAGACATTTTATTGGGGAACTGTGTGTTTTTCCAGGACCCATAAACTCCAACTCAAGTAGTTGTCTTCAATCTAGTTGTGGAGGGCGCAGCTCCTTGGCCCATGCAGGGATCAAACCAGCAACCTTGGTGTTATGAGCCTATGCACTAACCACCTGAACTAACCGGCCACCAAGAAGAGGAAATCTTTAAGGAAGAGTTAAAATGTAATTAGCAAACAGTTGGAAGCAGAGGTAGGGTGGAAGCTTGTCAGTTCATAGAAACTCTGGGAAGTAAATGTGAATATTAGAGTATTTGAATTGTGTCTGCTAAATAACTCTGACCTTAACTGACCAACGTTGCACTTGATTATCCACTAGTGTGTGTCTTAGTCCATATTGCTGTCAGAAGGTCTTTGTAGTTAAGGCTTTAACCTCTGGTGAACATCTGGACTTTCCAGCAAATTACACATGGCACCAGGTCTGAATTAGCTGGCTTAAATAATATTTAGTCCTTGGAAGGCAAGAATTCCTATGTGGTGAGGAAGTACTCTAGAGAAGGTGGGAGGCCTGTCCAGACCGCCACAGAACAGCCCGTGGAGAAGATTCTGGTACATTTCCCCACTGAGGAGTGAAGGTGAGGGTGATGGATGCGAGCAGCTGCTCCACCCCCTCTGTTCCTGGTTTTGATTTTTCCTTCTGCCTCGTGACTCTGGCACATTTCATTTTTCTGATCACCTGGACTACGTTGCCAGACTTTTTCCCTCTGTTCTATGGAAATAAACTCTGCAAGAGGTATTTTTTATAAAGGCATCTTCCTAGAATAATCCATAGGCTCTTGAGCTATCTAAGGATGGAAAAAAAGGCACGTGAAATTAGTTCATGTTAGTTCATGTTGAGGCTAGTTCAGCGCAGCCCCTGGAGGGCACCGCTCTTTCCTGAGCCGAAGACAGCACCTCTGTTCACAGCAGCTGGGTCATGCTGACTCGATCTTGGCCTGTGTCCTGAGAACATGGGGATGTGACAATGGCTCGTCACTGGACCGGGAGAACTGGCATCACTTTTCCATGTGTCGTTGCATAAATTCAGGGTGGATGTCCTTCATGAAGCTGAGTCTGGTCTCTGAAAGCATTTCCAGTCTCTAAAAGCACTTGACTCCAGCCTTTTAGGATAGTGAAGGAGAATCTGCATAAAGATGTGGAAGTAAATTTAATAGGCAGAGCAGAGAGCTATCTTTTTATTTATTTAAAAAAAAAATTTTTTTTTAAGATTTTATTGGGGAATCGGGGAAGGGGAGCAGACAAGTTGCTGTCCTTTTTGTTCTTCAGTCTAGTTGTGGAGGACGTCGCTTCACTGGCCCATGTTGGTATTATCATTGCCCTCTTCCTGGGTGAGGTAGTCGCTCGCTGGCCATTGGATGGCAGCTCATGAAAGCGCACGCCAGCTGCCGTCTAGCGCCACTGCAGCCCCACAGCAGCCCAGCCTCCAGGTCGAGCTGTAGTTCACCATCTTAGCTGTAGAGGGCACAGCGTCACTGACCCTCATGTAGGATCCAAACCGGGGCCCTGCTGGCGTCACAAACCAACTAACTCTTAACCAGTGCGCCACTTGGCCAGCCTGAGAGCTATCTTTTTTTTTTTTTTTTTTAATCTGAGCCATCCTGCCACCTGCTGGCAGCTCAGCGGCTGCTCAGCTCGGGCCGGGACTCAAACTGCTGTCACTCAGAGCTCGCAATCTTGAGCGAGCTCTTAACCAACTGAGCTACTCGGCCGGCCTGAGAGCTATCTTTTTAATGGGCGTAAAAAACTAAAGCAGGTATTTCTCTGATTCTAATTCCAACCAAGATGTTCTGTAGTCTTCTGATAAGTATAAGATGCTGTTGCTTCATAGAGGTTTCTCTTTATTCATCTAATAAATGCATTGCTCCTTAGAATTGACACCTTTGTTTCATGTCACCATCACCACCACCATACTTCCCCAAGATTTGATTTCTAGAATAAGATTCTTAATACCAAAATATCATCTCAAAGAGAAGTTTGAATACTTCTTTAAAGTCCAGTCTTGATGAAAACTGCTTCTAATGCATGGTTTTGATAACCAGATTCATAGTTCTGCAAACTCTTTATCAAACAAATGAGCTTTACACTTACAGCTTCTGTCCTTTACAGTAATTATTTTTCCTTTTTTTTGTGCTAAAAATGCAATGTCTTCATACATCAACAGAGCATGTCAGTTGCAATTATAGGAAGAGGATTGTGCGAAAAACTTTTTAGGAGAATTATTTGTGGTAGAGTTTTACAAATGCTTGGGTACTGAGAGCAGGAATAAGTAAGGCTGTGAGTCAGATGTGGTAGGATTTTTTATTTGCTGCTTTTGCCCAAATGTCAAGAGGATAGAGTCCGGGAAAATGTACCATCAAGAGAACATAATGCATTATTATAGGCCAGAGTGACTCATGGGAGCATAAATTAAAAAATCATGAGTGAAAGAGGGTGTCATGTAGTCTTCCCCCCAACTAAAACGCCCTGTGTTAACTGTTAATAGAAAAGCATAAAAATATTTGGCACTGGTATTTTTAGGGAATAATTCAAAACGTCTTAATGCATGTATTAAAACTTAAATTGCATAATTAAAAGCTAGCTTGATTGAGGGAGGGTCAAAATTATTTTTTCAAAAAGGTTTTTTCATCAATTAGGAATTCTGATATGACGTGCCATTTGGCAGACACGCTTATCTTATTTGACAAGCCTGGGATTAAGAAGCCTGTTCCCGAAACAGGCCAGCAAATGGCTGTGATCCATTTAGTCCCAGTCCTAGTATTCTTGTGATGGCAGAACTGAGATACAGCTTCAATGACTCAATTCTAATTTCAGACTCAGTTTTCAGAATTACATTCGTAATGTCAGTTTCTTATGTGCATGAAAATTTTTGAAGCCAAGATGCTTTGATCATAATCACTTAATGGACTGAAAGAGAGTGTTTTTATGTAAGAGCAAAGTAACATTTTGTACATTTAAAAAATTTCTTTCCCTCCCTTCCCTTTCTTTCTCCCTTCATTCTTTCTTCTTCTTTTTTTTAATGTGAGGAGTATCTCTATCTCTTGTTACTTACACTTATTTTAGGATGGGGCTAATCCATGAACCATTTGTCCTGGCCCATGATGAGATATGTATTCATGAGCTGCGATAGCAATATCATAGTCCTTTTATACCTGTTGAATCTTAATAATAACCCTAAAATGGGACTTTTAGTTTATAAACCTTTTTTTTTCCTTGTAGTAATATATTTCTATTAGATACCTTAGTCTATGACAGATGGAAAGTTTTAAAAAAAATGTTAGGTAATAAAAGCAAAATTAAACAAGTAGAGCTACATCAAACTAAAAAGCTTCTGCACAGCAAAGGAAATAGCAGAATGAAAAGGCAGCCTACTGCATGGGAGAAAATATTTGCAAATCACATATCTCACAAAGGGTTAATATCCAGAGTTAATATAAAAGATTCATACAGCTCAATAGCAAAAAATCCAGTTAAAAATAGGCAGAAGATCTGAAAAGACTATTTTCCAAAGAAGACATAATATGAAAAGATGCTTAACATCACTATCATCAGGGAAATGCAAAAACAAAAAATAAAAAATAAAAGGAAAACAAGATAACCATCTCACACCAGTCGGAATGGCTATTATCACAAAGACAAGAAATAACGTGTTGGCAAGGAAGTGGAGAAAAGGGAACCCTCACACACTGCTGGTGGGAATGTATATTGGTGCAGCCACTATGGAAAACAGTGTGGAGTTTCCTGAAAAAATTAAAAATAGAAGTACGATATGATCCAGCAATTCTACTTCTGGGTATTTATTAGAAAAAAAATAGAAAACACTAACTTGGAAAGATGTCTGTACTCCCGTGTTCACTGCAGCATAGTTTACAATAGCCGAGATAGGGAAACAACCTCTATCCGTCAATGGATGTATGGATAAAGAAATTGTGATTCACGTGCGTGTGCACACACACACACACACACACACAAACACACAGGAATATTGTTCAGCCATAAGAAAGAATGAAATCTTGCTATTCATGACAATGTGGATGGACCTTGAGGGCATTATGTTAAGTGAAATAAGTAAGTCAGACAGAGAAGGACAAATACTGTGTGATCTTTTATGTGGGATATAAACCAAAGTGGGGGGAAATCCAAGCTCATAGATACAGAGAGCAAATTGCTGGTTGCCTGAGTCGGGATGGGAGGATGGGTGAAGTAGACGAAGGTGGGTCAAAAGGTACAAACTTCTAGTATAAATAAGTCACGGGGATGTGATGTTCAGGATGGCGACTGTAGTTAACAATACTGGATTGCGTATTTGAAAGCTGCTGAGAGAGTAGATCTTAAAAGTTGTCATCACAAGAAAAAGAATTGTACCTGTGGTGACAGATGTTAACTAGACTTGTTGTGATCATTTTGCAATTGATACTTGAGGCTCAGGACAGGCTGTCCCAAAATATGCCACAGTAGCATATTATTTTGACTTAAAGTTTCTTGAGAAACAGCTGATACAAAAAAAGAAACACTCCGACCCCCGCCTTCTCCCAAGACCCCCGCCTTCTCCCCAGAAAGGAGGAAATGAATCTCCTATACCAGGGGAATGAAGGGGGACTGAAGGCAGCCTGATCATGAGATGGGGAGTCAAGGCTGACAAAGCTGCGGGAACAAACTTTGTTACTTCATTAGTTTGCTGCTCCCGACACTAGCCCCTTTGTTTTGTCTAATCTTTGCAAATAATTGTTACTGTCTAACAGTGGTATATAAGCAGCCTGCCTTGGTCACTTCAGGGGTCCCATTTCTGGGAGACCGCCATATGTTTGTAATTAAATTGGTGTATTTTTTTTCTATCCTGTTAACCTGCCTTGTGTCAATTTAATTGTTAGGCCAACTAAAAGAACTAAGAAGGGTATGGGCAAACTTTTCTTTCTTGACAATACAAATATCATTATGTACAACTGGAGCTAACACAATGTTATATGTTAATTATACCTCAATTTAAAAAAGTAAGTAAACTCAACAGGCCCTTCCCCAAAGGGAGTTTGAGAAGCATTGCATGGCTGTATGTGTTTCGAGCAAACGAGAGAGAAAAGTGCCTTATCCCCAAAGATCTCTCTGACTCAGAGATGCCTGCTTTCTACCAGCCACATTCTTTGGTTTTGACATGTCACTCCCTCCTGGGCAGGTCTTCCTTCGAGAATCCTTGGAGCAGAAACTGGAGAAGCGGCGGGAAGAGGAAGTGACTCGGGCAGCCATGGTGATCCGGGCCCACGTCTTGGGCTACTTGGCACGGTAAGGATCATAGGAGGGAGGAGGCCTTCCCCAGTATGAGCCACCTGGTGGTGGCTTCTTCTTAAATAGACCTGGATGGAGGGTGAGGACCAGGCTAAGGAGAGTCCCAGCTCAGTGCTCTAACTAGCGGTGCCAGATGCCTAGTTAGCTTGCTTGGGCAAAAAGTGGGAAAGGGGGCTCCTGACATCTCAATTAGAACAATAGCATTAGGGGACTGTGCTGAGATGCTTAAATTGTGTACCAGTTCATCTTTGTCATGTACTGAAGCCAGAGGCGGCCTGGGCTGTTGACGTTGGTATTTTGTCTGTTGACATTGGTATTATCTCATTGGGTCCACGGAAGCCCCACTTTCCAGTGTTTGGCAAATGAGGCCCCCTTCTTTTTATGTGCCTTTGGGTTCTGCCCATCTTTGCGGACCAGCATGCCACATGAAACCTCACACTGTTAAATTGTCCGCGGTACAAAGCTGTCCTGCTATAGCAAGATCTCCTCCCACCCCCATAAAAATAGGAGACTAGAGCAAATCTCTCTTGGTCCTGTTTACAACCCAGCTTCCTGCCAAACGTTTCAACGTTAGCATTAGGGGTTAGGTATTTGTTTAGCCAAGATATGATAGGGTTCTTGCTTTAGTTTTGTTTGTTATTATTCTCTTGTTTTTCTTCTGCTTTTTCCCCAAAGGGGCCTCCTTTGCTCTCCTCTCTCTGAAGAGCTTATCTTCCCAAACTAGGCCCTGTTCTTTTGTCTTGCAGCTGTTAAACGCATTTGAAGAGCTCAAAGCCTCATTACCTCAACAGTTACTCTGTTGCGCTGTGTTTTTGTTTTCATTTTCAGAAAGCAATATAGGAAGGTCCTTTGCTGTGTGGTGGTCATACAGAAGAATTACAGAGCGTTCCTTTTGAGGAGGAGGTTTCTGCACATGAGAAAAGCAGCCATAGTTTTCCAGAAGCAACTCAGAGGTCAGATTGCTCGGAGATTGTACAGACAGCTGCTGGTAGAAAAACAAGAGGAGGAAGAAAAGAGGAGACGGGAAGAAGAGGAGAAGAGGAGACGCGAGGAGGAGGAAAGGTACAGCGCCTCTTCCTCGAATGAAAATAGGACACCTTTTGAGTTTCATGCTCAATATCCATCCTTCCAGCAAGAGTTCCCAGGGGATGCTGTTGACCCTACGAGTGGCTCAAATATAAAATTCCCAGTTCTGTGTGTATTTTTATTTTGTGCACAAAGTGGGTATGTTCCCAAGGGAAGAGACCTCACCCTTCCTTCATGCTTTTTAAGTTGTCTTTAGCAAAGGTGTTTGTTTGTTTTTTTTTAAATTAGCTCTCTCTGAAAAGTGGTTCTTGGATTTTTTTTTCCATTGCATTTATTTTTCTTTACTGTTTTTAGAGAAAGAGAGAAGGCACGAAGAGAAGCTGAGCTCCGCACCCAACAGGTGAAGAATGCTGTCACAGTGTGGTATCTCGTCTGTCCATTTCCTTCCCACTTCAAACACTTGGACGCAGGATGCAAAACTGAAAGTATAAGGATGTAGGAAGAAGAACATTAGGAGAGATGTTGCTGCTTCACTTTCTTTCTAACCCATTACATTGGGTGAAGATGAGTGAATGTGTATGATTTTAGAGTGAATCATGACATAATTTCTCTAAGCCAGTATAACCACTGTATTAGTTTGCTCGGGCTGCTGTAACAAATTAACACAGCCTGGGTGGATAAAACAAGAGACTGATTTTCTCATAATCCTAGAGGCTAGAAGGCTAGACGTCCAAGATCAAGTTGTGGGCAGGTTTCGTTTCTTCTGCAGCCCCTCTCCTTTGATTGCAGATGTCCGCTGTGTCCTCACGTGGTCTTGTATCTGTGCACACACATCCCTGGTGTGTGTCTGTGTGTCCCAATCTCCTCTTCTTTTTTTTTAAGTTTTTTGTTTTTTTAATTGGGGGATGGGAACAGACAAGTTGCTGTCATTTTGTTCTTCAGTCTAGTTGTGGAGGACGTTGCTTCACTGGCCCAAGTTGGCACCATCATTGCGCTCTTCCTGGGCGAGGCAGATCAGTCACCGGCTTCTAGATGGCCGCTCACTGCGGCTGCTGGCCGCTCACGCTGGCTGCAGGCTTCACACGGTAGCCCATGGCAACCTACTGCCACAGCGGCTGCAGCCCATGACTTCCCCGGCGACTCACAGCAGCCCAGCTCCAGGTTGAGCTGTTGTTCAGCATCTTAGCTGTAGAGGGCAGTGTCACTGGCCCTCATATGTGGGATCCGAACCGGGGCCCTCTGGCGTCCCAAGCCAGCTTTTAACCATCGTGCCACTCGGCCGGCCCGCAATCTCCTCTTTTTATAAAGACCAGTCCGATTGGATTAGGGCCCCACCTCGCAGCCTCATTGTAACTTAATCACCGCTTTAAAGGCTGTCCCCAAATACACAGCCCTGAGGTACTGAGGGTTGAGGCTTCAACATGTCAGTTGCGGGGGAAACACAGTTTAGCCCAAAACCACCACCTCTTGTGGTTCTTCCCTGCAAAGGAGGAGCGATGCCTGTGCCAGCCCTTGGTAGTGACACCTTGTAACGTCTTCCTTCCTCTTCCGCCCAGGAGGAGGCAGCCCGGAAGCAGCAGGAACTGGAGGCCTTGCAGAAGCGGCGGAGGGAAGCCGCGCTGAACCGGGAGCTGGAGAAGCAGAAGGAAAACAAACAGGTGGAAGAGATCCTCCGCCTGGAGAAGGAAATCGAGGACCTGCAGCGCATGAAGGAGCGGCAGGAGCTGTCCTTGACCGAGGCCTCCCTGCAGAAGCTGCAGCAGCTCCGGGACGAGGAGCTCAAGAGGCTGGAGGACGAGGCGTGCCGGGCCGCGCACGAGTTCCTGGAGTCGCTCAACTTCGACGAGATCGACGAGTGCGTCCGCAACATCGAGCGCTCGCTGTCGGTGGGGAGCGAGTTTTCGGCGGAGCTGGGCGACCTGGCGGAGACCGCGTGTGGGGAGAAGCCCAGCTTCAACTTCAGCCAGCCCTACCCGGAGGAGGAGGTCGACGAGGGCTTCGAGGCCGACGACGACGCCTTCAAGGACTCGCCCAACCCGAGCGAGCACGGCCACTCGGACCAGCGGACCAGCGGCATCCGGACGAGTGACGAGTCCTCGGAGGAGGACCCCTACATGAACGACACCGTGGTGCCCACCAGCCCCAGCGCCGACAGCACCGTGCTCCTGGCCCCCTCCGAGCAGGGCTCCTCCGGCGGGGAGCCCACCTACTGCATGCCCCAGAACGCGGGGGGCCTGCCCTCCCCGGAGGGCGACTACGACTACGACCAGGATGACTATGCGGATGGCGCCATCACCTCCGGCAGCAGCGTGACCTTCTCCAACTCCTACAGCAGCCAGTGGTCCCCAGACTACCGATGCTCCGTGGGGACCTACAACAGCTCCGGGGCCTACCGGTTTAGCTCTGAAGGGGCGCAGTCCTCGGTGAGTACGCGGTCCCCTGGGGGCCCAGGCTCGCCTGCACAGAGATGGGGACGCGGGCGGTGCACTTGGATGAAGGCTCCCCCACAGTCCACGCCCGAGATTCCGAAGTCTTGCTCTTAGAGATGACCTCAAAGCCCTGTCTTTCCAAAAGCTATCGCATTAAGGAAATAGAGCCTTGATGTCTCTGTCTGTCGCAGGTTCAGTACAAAGCCCAAAACCGCTTTTTGCCCGGAGCCTAAGGAAACTGGTATTTTCAGTGGAGATTGGGCTGTCTGTTCTGGCTTTGCAGCCCGCACCCTAACTGGAACGAGATAGGCCTGCCAAGGGCATTTTGGAGAACTTCCCTTCTAGTAGCTTCACAGTCCACACTGCAGGATGTTCTGTCTTGTCCTGGTGGTAAAGGCTTAACCCGCTCTTTCCAGCTTCTGGGTTTATCTATTGTTCATGTTTATTTTTTTCCCTGTTGGCCCCGTGTGTTAAATATTGCCTTGACTTTCGAAGATTTTTGTAGCGTAGTGATTTAAGGGGAATTAACTCTTGCATAGTTTGAGTACAGTACACCTTTAAGCAGCAGCGCTGTTTTTAGCATAGATAGCCTTTGCGTTAAAGTATGTCTGGCGTTTCATGCATCCGTGCAATGCACCATTTCACCTTAAAAATTGGTGCTTTGTAATCCATATTCAGGATTACAGACTTTTATGACCACTCCGTTGTAATGTTAGGAACGGGCATGTTGCTGCTTTGTCAGTTGTTTTTATTTTTCAGTGTCGATTGACGCTGGGCATGTTCCTTGCTTGCTCTCTGATTTTCTCGCTCACCCTTGGCTGTCTCCTTCTTGTCCAGTTTGAAGACAGTGAAGAGGACTTTGACTCGAGGTTTGATACAGACGATGAGCTTTGCTACCGGCGGGACTCTGTGTACAGCTGTGTCACGCTGCCGTACTTCCATAGTTTTCTATACATGAAAGGTACGACCTGCGACCACCCTGCCACCTGGGTTGGGGGTAAGACAATGGAAAACTGAGATTTCGTTTTCACTGAGGCCGATTGAGGGGAATTGGGAACGTCCCCCTGCCTTGTGTTAGGTTCTGTAGGTGCGTGGAGGGAGCCGTGGTGACATGACATGGATGACACGGGTGACATGGTCATACCTGCAAGAACGCTGCCGTGACTCAGTTGATGCAGTGTTAGGACAGAGTTTACAACCACTGTCACCATTTTTCAGCCTCTCTCTCCTCCCTGTTCTCCTATACCTTTTCCTCTCTCTGTCTTTCTGTCTCTCTCTCACACACACATATACATACATCTCACACATGTGCTGCTCCTGGAGTCAGTGCAGTCTGTTATAATGGTCCCCTGCACGCTCCCCTCCCCTGGGAGTAGAGAACCTAGCAGGACGTTGTGTATGTGGGGGAAAGGAAAGATCTGAGCGAGGGCCACACCTCGCTTAGACTGCTCATGACACCTACTGTGATGACGAGAATTATAGTTGTATGTTTTGCTGAGTGTTAAACTTTGTACTATATTGGACCTTAATCCTTGGGGACCCGGGCGCATACACCTTTTGGAAATTATTTACTTAGGTCTTTGTACACATGCTTTATTCATGTTCTCGATCGACGCTAACTTCTGAATCCGTGTCATGAGAATGCACCAATTTTTTGCAGGAGTTTTAAATTCCCTGGACTCTCTTATTTATAATCTATGACATTGACTTATTGTGTAGTTGTCTGATTAAAACAAGTGAGACTAGGAATAATACATTAATAAAATACATACTTTACCTAAGATTAGTAAAGATACATTCAAAGCACTGAATTTCAAGATTAAAGTTTTAAAAGCTCAATAAGGTAAGCAAGTGAGTTTTTGGCAGGCTCATCTCTTAAAAAAAGTTATTGTGTAAATGCATCCTGTAATTTTTAATAAAGTCTTTAAAGTTGTGAAAAAGTTTTCAGAGAAACCATGATGCAGAAAATCCAACCTCCAGATTATATTTTATGAGCGTAAATGAGTTTTCACCAGCCTCATAGCCCACTAAAGGTGTTTGTAGTTAGGAAATTAATAGCATTAATCAAATTCTCTAATGGATGAAACATCAAGAGAGCACCCAGAATTGGGGTGGGAGGGCTGGGAGCGAGTCCCATTAATAACATAAGAACAACAGAGTGAATGGATGGCTGTGGTACTCTGTGTCTCAGAAACAACCGGGAATAACCTTTATCATTTAAAGACGATGACAAGAGAATAACTTTGTATTACAGTTTCCTCTGGGCTTGTTTGAAAGACCCAGATTAAAGTCACATATCAAAAAGGGAAAAAAATTTCTGGTAATCCTTGGCAAGTTTGCTGCTTGTTAGGAAATAGCTCTGGAGCTTGGCGTGATGACAGACTTCTCGGCCAGGTGAGCAGGCAGTGCTTTAGACACAAGAAAGGGAGACGTTTGTATAGTTCAACGAAGCAAGCGCGCTCTGCACACCAAAAACAAAGCAGTGTTGTCATTGCTTTACTTGTTCCACGGTGAGATTTAGCTCTGTAGCCACTGGAGAAATTAATCTGAGAAGGTCTTTAAAAATTTATTTCTAATCTGTAAAATAAAAGTATTTTCTTTATACTTACTTTCAGTATCCGTGTTTAAGTGTCCCTTATTTTTACTACTGACTGATCAAAAAAGTAACTTGTGGACATTTTAAAATAAATTATTGAAGTAGATTCTGTTCATCAGTGGATACATTAAAACAGATTTTTGAGTGATGGTGGTTAAGATGTCACTCTTAAATGTCCTTAAGGGATCTAGAATACTAAGTTATACTATCCTGCTAGAAGAGCATTAGAAATATTTTTTTTGTCTTGTAAAATATTACATTTGAATATCTTTGTCTCCTTGTCTAATTTCTCTCAACTAAAAAAATAAAATAAACTACAGCTAACTTCACATTTTTTTAGGTCTAATCGCCATTCAGTTTGGAGTCTTCGTTTCATATTCTAAATCGTATACCTTATACATATAAACCATTTTCAGGTGATGATGCTTTTCTTGGAAAAGATGCAAAAAAAATCGTGTTTTATTTTCCTATGTAAGTTGGTTTATTGCTAAACTGCAAAATCACCGATAAGTCACGTTCCCCAGTTGACCAAATGAAGAAGGAATGTGTCAACTTTGACACCATTTTAAAGTAATTTCCTCTGGGGCGTTTGAAAATAAACACACAGAAATGGTTCTTGCCCGGTGGCCCTTGACTCACCGTCAGGTTAATGGCAGGTCATTACTTTTCCTTTCTGTTAGCCCCTCACCAAGATTTCTCATCGAAGCGAGCCGGTACTGCTCTGTAAATAAGGGACCAAATTCTCGTATAATCCAGCCATGCTAGTGTAATGCCTCCAACCCCCCAACACAAGCTAGCAGTGCTGTCATCCTTCACTGAGGGGTGTCTGAAGGCGGGGTCACTTGGGGCAAAGTTAAGGATAGGTGGAACCTTAAGACCCTCTATTGATGTTGTCAACCAGTGTGACTGACTTTTCTTAACACCCCCCCCCCCCCCCCCCCCCCCCCCCGATCTTGGAACAGGTGGCCTGATGAACTCCTGGAAACGCCGCTGGTGCGTCCTCAAGGACGAAACCTTCCTGTGGTTCCGCTCCAAGCAGGAGGCTCTGAAGCAAGGCTGGCTCCACAAGAAAGGCGGCGGCTCCTCCACGCTGTCCCGGAGGAACTGGAAGAAGCGCTGGTTCGTCCTCCGCCAGTCCAAGCTCATGTACTTCGAGAACGACAGCGAGGAGAAGCTCAAGGGCACCGTGGAAGTCCGGACGGCGAAGTACGTTCAGGAACCCTGGCGGGGCCCGGTGGGCTGGTGCTCTGGGTGGCGTGATGGTTTATGTTGCTGCCTGCAAAGCCAGCTGCTGCAAGGTCTTTGAAGCAGCCGTCTGGGGGTGCTGAATGAGTCCCAGTCCTTCACGTCAGTGGATTAAATTATTAGGAATCTGGGAAGCAACCTCATCTGTGAGCAGTTCACTTTCTGTGGTTACGTCCAAACATTTGGCTCTCGTTTCTAAGATGCCAGTTGGACATACAGGCAAGGAACGGGGTGGATTGTGTTCAGGAATTATGGTGTGCATGTTGGACGATTGGTTGTGAATCTTACTATCTTTTTATCTGTCAGCGTATCGCTTTCAGTTCTTCCACAGTCCCAACCGAGGGAGCAGATGGCCATTCGGGAGACGTTTGGTTTTTCTGTTTGTCTTTAATTGAAACATAATTGACACATCACATTATTTTAGTTTCAGGTATACCACATAAAGATTTGGCAATTGTATATATATTGCAAAACGATCATCAGCACACAGTCACAAATTGTTTTCTTGTGATGAGAACTTTTAAGATCTACTCTCTTACTTAGCACCTTTCAAATAGGCAATACAGTATAAGTAACTCTAGTCACCATGCTGTCCGTCACATCCCTGTGACTTATTTTATAACTGGAAGATTGTACCTCTTGACCACCTTCACCCATTTTTATTGTTGTTGCTTTTGTGCTTTCTAATCACCCTTCACCCATGAGGTATGTTTTGAATTGAATCATTTGTCTCCTACCTGTGTTGGGCGTATAGCCATTTTTGTTCTCAGCAGTGAGAGGAACAGCACTGGCCTTTGAACCCAAAATGACCCCTTTTTGTGCCACCCTCTTATAGAAGAACCAAAACATTTGAGGGCCTGTGATTTTTGTTAAAAGTTAAGGTTTTCAGAAAATCACTGGAGTTTAGGGACAGCTGGGTAACTAGATACTAAGCATAAAACTTGTTTTAGCTTAATCTGTAGCCAGACTCCCCTGAAAACTTCAGCTACCACATATACAGAGGGTGCCCAAAAATGTATACGCATTTTAAGAAAGGAAAAGACTATTAAAATTGTAATACTCAATATATACCGACAACAAAAGATGGATACAAGTCACGTGTATACATCTTTTTGGCACCCCCGGTATTTAGAAAACTGCTAAAATGTGGTTTATCATTTTCAGTTGACAGAGCTCTCACGTGTCTTCTAATGGATACATGCCCCTTGCACCGTTTCTTTCCCTTTCTATTGGTTATTGAAGATGCTGCCTTATTTACCCGGTAGCTTCCAGACCCCCATCTCCAGGGAAGCTTTTTACAAAGGCAAGTCCCTGGGCCCCACCCACAGAGATGCCCGCCCCTGCCTGTGTTTTCTGAATGTCCCCCAGGGCGCAGAGCCACGGCCACACGTCCTAGTCTCACCCCTTGGTTTCACACACAAGGCTGCTGAGTTCCCAGGAGGCAAAGCGGCTGGTCCAGCAGGACCTGGTCTGGACAGTTTGACCTGCGGGTTATCGTCCTGCTCCAGAGGCTCCCTTGCCAGACCCTTGGCTGCTCCATCCCCGTTGCTCACCTCTCTCCGGCCACAGACCACTCGATGAATTACCGTCGTCTTGATTTTTTTTGTGTAATATTTTATCCCATCGCAGTGATGCTAGCTGTAAGCTTAGATGGTATTTATTTTTCCTAACCAGTTAGGCTGCTCAGTTTTGTAGATGTGAAATGAATGTTTTACTGTGAACAGTTGTACTATTTCAGTTGTCAGAACAAGCTGGCTTTATCCCCAAGACCCTTCTTCATCAACTATAGTACCACCTCTGGGTCCATCCTAACATCTGGTTTTACCCCGGATGTTGTTAGCCTGGCCCACCGATCTGAAACCTCGAGGGTTGTTTAGGGAGGGCTGGGTCAAGAGCAAGATGATATTGAGTTCAGAGACACGTCCAAATCCTGCTCTTTACCCCAGAACCCCCATGGAAGTAATGTGCGTCACAGGTGTCAGTCAAAGCCTCAAGCCGTGATGGAAGCTGTGATGAGCTATGGAAGAGCTCGGGTCAGATTAGTCCCCTTGTGGGGGTCCTTCCATTGAAGAGCAGTGACAGGAACCACGAGAAGGTGCAGGCTGGAGTGGGGGCTACTGCCCAAGCCTCCGGGGTCCTGGGGTGGGCCTGTGTGAGAAGAGAGGGGCCCCTCCCTGGAGAAGTCAAGGTAACCCCTGGCCACACCAGCAGCCCATCTCTCTCTGAAGCAGAGAGGAGCCTGGCTCCCCCTAGAGGACACAGTGATCACCGTTTGTAAAAAAAGAAAACAGGCTGAATTAGGATCTGATTTTTCAGTTACAATGTCCAACTCAAGCATCGGTTTGGTGACGTTGCTTTTCTCGCCTGTTGTTAAGAATTCTGTGTTCCTGAATTGCATTTGGTGCTCTTGTTCCTTTGCAGAGAGATCATAGATAACACCAGCAAAGAGAACGGGATCGATATCATTATGGGCGATAGGACCTTCCACTTGATCGCCGAGTCCCCGGAAGATGCCAGGTGAGGTGCTGTGTTGTCGCCGTCATCATAACTACATCCCCTCTCCTGCATGGGCCTGGGTGTCACCCAGAACACTGTCTGCTCCACTGGCTCTGAAAAGATTGTAATTGGTTTCCTAGTTAGGTTTTCTGGTAGAATGGTTGAAGGACTGTGAGTTGTAAGAGATTGGTGTACTCTTGTCCCCTGGGAAATGTCACTGGGCAGATGTGTCCACGTACAGCACACAGGTCAGGTTTTCCAGCTTCGAATGTCACCCAACAGACCCCTTGTCACCCCTGCTCAGGCTTTATTGTCATCAGCAGCACGTGTAAACTTCAGCGACACACAGCTGAAAGCCTACCCTCTGGATGTTTCTGAGCTTTGAAAGGGAACAGCTTGTGTTTGCTGAAGGAGTAAAAAAGCAGGAGTGATGACCACTGGCGTTGAAACCAGTGAGAGTGCTGTGACCGTTGGTGGGTGTTCACGGTCTTGATGTCGAAGAGTGTGATAGGATAGAAGAGTTAGTTACCACTTAGAGAACTTACTGTATTTCCGGCAATATCCTAAAATGCTTTCTGCTGCTTTGCGCGTCTGTCGGGTGATGTTGGAGATGTCTGTCAGCCACTCAGCAACGCCAGAGAGTGTCTTCCAACTGAGGGTGACATCCTTCAGCCTATGTTTCTACTTCTCAGCTCAGAAACCATTAGACTGTTCTAGTGAGTTCTCAGGGCCTTTTGTTACCCCTGTCCTTTGAATGTTTCTGAGTTGACACAGCACTATGATGGCAGCGTTCAGGGCAAAGAAAATAATTCTTCCCATGGGAACAGCCTGAAATCCTGCTTAGACCCATAAATTATGACACAAACTGGAAAAACAAGCAAACCGGGAATTATAGCCTCATCATTCTGTCTGGGACTCCTGGAGACCACGTGTGGGTTTTTTGTGGTCCAGGGAATGCCCACAGCTCTCCAGCTGAATTACAGGCCCAGCATCGGGCCGCTGTCCTGTCCATTTTGTGCCATAATGAACCTGCTAAATATAACATTGGGAATATTTCAGCCAAGGACTTTTTCCCCTGACCAGTGGAATACTTTTTTAAAATTTCCTTTTCAGATTCCAAGTTATTCTTAATTCAGGAGGAAAAAAATTGTAAATTTCATGGTGTCCCCTGTACAGATTGAAAGCACAGCAAATTTCATTTCTGTATGTGCATCGTCTCCTGGGGCCTACGTCGTGAATGTGTGCGTTTTCCAGTGTTTTATGGGGGAAACTCAAAAGTGGCCGAAATCAAGCAATGAGTGGAGTCTTGCCTTTGGGTTAACCAGAATTGACGAAGCCAATTCATGTTAGAAGTTCCCATTGGTCTCACCTCAGAGTCTATATATGTGCATATTTTCAAGCTCTTGGTCACATTTTTGTCAGGAATCACAGAAGGTAGATTTTTGTCTTTTGCTATAAATAACTTACGTGACTTAGCCTTTATATATAGGTGTTACTTTTTTATTTAAATGTCCCATTGTGTACCTACCACGTATTTTCTCCTCTGCTTTACTTAGAAGTGTGTGTACGTCTCGTTAGACCTCTACCGGGGAAGGGCGTCCTGGCGTCATTCTCACCTTGGGTACCTCTCATATTTTGTAGCCACGTAATAAATGTTAGCTGGACAGACGGACAGATGGATGTTCATGGTCATGTTCCTCCTATTGAAATTTCTAGTTACACCATGACTTTTGTTTTGCTTGACTTTTCTGGGGTTGACATGTTTTCCTTTATTATCTGATTCTGACGGAAGTGAGAAAAAATTCTTTTGAAATGAAGATGGAAGAGTTCCCTGGACAAAGAAATTTTCCACTTTCTACTTCAAGCAACTGTTTTCCAGCTCCTGCTCGCCTGTAGTTTAATTCATTTTTGTAGACCTCCCATCAGGGATGAGTAGGGAAAATCGACATCAAGTGGCCATTCTGCGGTGGCATTCGTACATTATTGGCCTTCTCGCCTTGGAATCAAAGCTGAAAAGGCCGTTGGTGCTCCCCAGGCTGGGACTAATACCTTCAGGAAAGATCCTTCGTGTAAGCGTTCTGGGTAGAACTGAGGATTTCATTTTTTCTATCAGGTTCTCTAGGAACTCATGTTCATCATTTGGTATCTATAGAGGTCTGCGGGACCTGGAAGTCAAGGTCTTCCCAGTGACCTAAAATGGCAACCGATGGTACTTAAAGGTGCTTTGGCTGTTTATTCTAACTTGGCTCCTTGGTAGTAGAAACCCGCCTTTACCCCTGAGGCTGAGTTGTTAAAAAGCCGAGTTGCTCAGAGGAAACGCCATTTTCTGTGTGGAGAAGGGCCCCGCGGTTTTGCACATCCAGAGGCTGGTCACTCCTTGACAGTTGCTGTCTTCTTCCCACAGCCAGTGGTTCAGTGTGCTGAGTCAGGTCCACGCATCCACGGACCAGGAGATCCGGGAGATGCACGATGAACAGGCAAACCCACAAAATGCTGTGGTATGTAAGCATGGGCGGGGGGGCGGGGGGTGCAGGCGGCTGGGGATTTCTAGACAGACTTTTTTTTTTTCTTTAAGTAAAAGTATAATAAAGAGAAAAATAGGAATATTTTGGTTAAAAGTCATGCAGAAAATTGAATCAATTATAGAAACTTATAAGTAGTAACACATTCCCATTCTCCCATCTCAAACCCTTAAAAGAACAAAAGAAAAATCCCATTTTTAGGAAATCATGGAAGCGCACTACACGTCTCTTCAAAGGACTGAGCGAGTTCTTAATTGTATTCTTTCTGTCTTCCTATTATCCCAGACATGTACACAGATAAAGTTCAAAGTTTAGAAATAAAGTTGTATTTCCTCATCAGAAGAACTTAACATCAAACGAAGTTTCTTAGCAGAATAAGTAGAAAATTTAGTGACAGATCCAGGTGTAAATCAGAACACTTGTATTTTTTTTTTTAAAGATTTTAATTGGGGAATTGGGGAAGGCGAACAGTGTTGGGGAATTGGGGGAGGGCAACTGCCAAGTTGTTGTCCTTCAGTCTTAGCTGTGGAGGGCGCAGCTAGCTCACCTCCAAGTCTAGTCGCCATCCGGCCGCCTGTCGGCAGCTCAGCTCAAGGTGCCATGTTCAATCTTAGTTGGAAGGGTGTGGGGGGACACAGCCCACCATCCCATGTGGGAGCTGAACCAGAAACCTTGTTGTTTGGAGCACGTGCTCTCATCAGCTGAGCCATCCTGCCACCTGTTGGCAGCTCAGCTCAAGTGTAGCTCACTGGCCCATATGGGAATCGAACCCATGATCCTGTTGCTCAGAGCTCGTGCTGTTAACCAACTGAGCCACTCGGCCGGCCCCAGAACACTTGTACTATTGAAAGAAGTTTGTAAACACTCTTCACTGAAGGTAGTTTGAGAAAAAGACAAAAGATTAATTTATAATTTTTTTACTGAGTGAACGGCAGCCGTTGCCCTGTGTGTACTCTCAACACAAAGGGGAACCTTCCTTAGATTATTATTTTGCAATGAACACAGAAAGGAGCCTTTTTGTTTGCCTGTTTAGAAGGTCGTCATCTGGGAATATTAAGCTAATGTGCACTGTACTTGGTGAATATCTCACTCTCTCTACTTTTTGCTCCATTCCAGGGCACTTTGGATGTGGGGCTGATTGATTCCGTGTGTGCCTCTGACAGCCCCGATAGGTGAGCCCAGAAATGACTGTTAACAAAAGTGACTAAGTGACCTGCACGTGCTCACAGCGCCCCCTGCGTCTGGGCCACTTTGCTCTTCATTGGGCTGTGAAATGGTTCTAGGCTGTGTGTTCCCACCCGGTCAACCCCAGCAATCTAGAGTCTTCATTCTTGGTACCCAGTTTTACATCACTGGGAAGTCTTTTTGTGGGGGGGCAATGGGGGAGACAGTGGAAACCTAATTTAGACAATTAAAGAGCACACAGAAGACAAATATTCTTCATTTGGAGGCAGGACAAATGCGGGATTCATACAGGAGAATGCTGTTTAGGAAAATGGTATTCCAGCAAGGGTGTCATTCCCTTTTCTAAACTTAATAATGAATTAAAAAAATAATTTGATGGCTATTTATATATAAAGTATTCATAAATTAAACCCCAGGCATTTTCCTTGACATGTCTTCCTACTCTGTGCCCTTAAGATAGAACGCGCTGCTGGGTTTTATTTTTTGAAGGCGTGTCATCTTCCGAGATGGCCTGAGGAGTTCTTGTATCCAGTGGCTGACCTTTGTCTTTTTTCATCTCTATTTTCCTTTGCTGCTTGTGAATCCTGAGTAAGAATCAAATTGGCTCCTGCCTTCAGTAACTGCTTTAGAAAGTGAATAGGAACGTATTCAAAGTGACGGCAAAACTAGTGTCTACTCGGCAGCTTTGAGTTTTGGTGTCTCCATCACCCACCGTTGGTGAAGGCCGTTCTGAGCCGCAGACCCTCCGTTTCTGGCACTTACCCTGCCCCGTCTTACTCCCGCAGCTCAGGAACCTGTAATACATGTGTGTTACGTCCGTAATCAAAGCCCAGATGTTTGTTCTGACGGTCGGGCAGGTTCCCACCGCATCTCTGTCGTTCTTCTTCTAAACCCTTACCCTCCAGCCGGCGGGGCATGTGAGGAACCATGCTCACACTCCCCATCCCTGCTCGGGCTGGCTTTCTTCCTCAAGTAGGCCCATCGTGGCTCGCGTCCCAACGATAGTAAGATCTTGCTTTTATTTTTAAGGACCACCTGTCTTTCCCTGTCTGTTACAATCTGGTTCATCTTCCTTTTCCTTGGAACACTTAACTACAGTGAACATTTGAAAACTTGCAATAAATTGTTCATAGTCACTAGCTTAAGTGGTTCGGTAGAAGAATTAGCATGAGCAAGGGCCTGTGAGAAACTCAGGGCATTCATTACCAGACAAAGAAAAAGATGATGAGGGGGGAAAGTAAATTTCCGGGATTATGTTATCCCCGACTGGGAAATGGACCCTGGTTAGCTTGTGTTGAAAAGATGGGCCCAGGTGGCTTTTTGTAGCAGGCATAACCAAGTGTATTTAAGATATTCCACTTACACCTATTTACTGATCTTCGTCTATTACTGGTGTCTGACATTTCATTACCGACCCATGGAAATATCCAAGGCAGCACCCAGAGGCAGAAACAAATTTACTTTGGAGAGGCATCCAAACAGAATTTTCCCCCACGGTCACCTTATTTAGCCTTCCCGGAATCGAGTTTCATCTGGAAAGTTTTGCATGAAGAAATGTTTCCCCTTCAGAATGGGCCGCTCCAAGTTTAAAGGTTAAAGATGCATAAAACCCTGCAAAAAGAAGCAAGGTTTCCTTGCCCGTGAAATACAAATAGCACTGCAGTTTTTATCCCCATGACCCATGCATCAGGCTTGGTTCAAACAGAGGTGATGCTGTCGTCAGCAGAGCTAAGAGGCTTTGCTTCCTTCTCGCCCTGTCGCTCAGACCCAATTCGTTTGTGATCATCACGGCCAACCGGGTGCTGCACTGCAATGCCGACACGCCCGAGGAGATGCACCACTGGATAACACTGCTGCAGCGATCCAAGGGGGACGCCAGGGTGGAGGGCCAGGAATTCATCGTGAGAGGTGACTGCCACCGGTGCTTTCCTTTCCTCACGAACTCCTGTTTGCACAGAAACCTGCAGCATTCCCCTTTTGAGCTGCTTTTCCAAGTAATTTTGACCCTCGGATTTGCTAAAAACATTAAATGAGAAATCGTGGTCATTTCTAGCAAATCTGTAGGAATACGGCCCATTTATAATAAGCATTGTGCAAATCGTTACCTGGTGTTTGGTGTGTCTCTTCATAGTTTCCAGTTTACACTTTCATCTTTCTCTCCAGGGTGGTTGCACAAAGAAGTCAAAAACAGCCCAAAGATGTCTTCCCTGAAACTGAAAAAGCGGTGGTTTGTGCTAACCCACAATTCCTTGGATTACTACAAGAGCTCGGAGAAGAATGCTCTGAAATTGGGGACCTTGGTTCTCAATAGCCTCTGCTCAGTTGTCCCTCCGGATGAGAAGATTTTCAAAGAGACAGGTAACCAGGGTGGTGTGCTTGGGAACGTTGCATGCACGTCAAACCATAGGAGTTGTTCTGGGTTTGCTCAGAGCAAAGGAATGAGGTTCTTGCCGAGATTCCTGCACTTTTTTCTTCAAGAACCAGCTCTTTTTCTGGTTGATGTATCTTCTGAGGCTGTCTGCGGTTAGCTGTATGAACACTTAGTATTTAAACCACAGTAAAGACGCCTGGATTTATGGAGTTGCAGAGTCTTCTAAGGACAATAAAATGTAAACAGACAAAGATTGTCCTACAGGAAGCTTTATTTTTGTATGCTTGTGTTTCATCTCCTTTATTACTATACCATGAGAGTCATAATGCAACCTAAAAAAAGATAAGTCCTGTCAGTGAACGTAACTTAGTAAAATAAAAAGCAGTCATGGAAGCTTAGTTTTTTTGTTTTCCCCTTTTCACTATTTTAAAAATGTTTCTAGGTGGTTTATTTTGATGTCTGTTGCTAGTTTTGGTTTTTTAATGTAGCTACTCCATGCAAAAAATATTTGCATGTTTTTAATATTGTGACTCCATTCCAAATTACAGCTTTTTTTGAACACTGCTCGATTAGCTAAGTGTTTTCTTTTTAAAGGAGTCTAAGAAAGGAACAGGAGAAACAGGAAAGGAGAAAGAGTCAGAAATCTGCTGGAAGTTTTCATCCTTGTTCCAGAGCCTCGAAAGGGACTTTAGTTTGTTTTTCTCCCAGAGTAAAATATGACAGTGTTACATTTAATTCTGGGTTTATCGTTTTATGTTTATCTTCCTCCCTCAACTGTAAACTTTTCGTGTCTTTTGGATACCTCGATGCCCAACACAGGGCGAGGCACGTGTACGGATTCAGCCAGTATTTACTGAATTAAAGAACGATTAAAGGGGTTCAGGTGTGGATGACTTAGGCTGCTAATGGTGCTGGCTTTCTGGGACTCCCGTGCCAGAATGTCGCCTTGGCCACGTGTTGACGCTGACGTGTGTGCAATGCCGCTGTTGCAGGCTACTGGAATGTCACCGTGTACGGACGGAAACACTGTTACCGGCTCTACACCAAGCTGCTCAATGAGGCCACCCGGTGGTCCAGCGCCATTCAAAATGTGACTGACACCAAGGCCCCGATTGACACCCCCACCCAGCAGCTGATTCAAGACATCAAGGTGAGGTGTCAGGGTGGTTCGTGGTATCTCACAGATTCTCACCCTTGAAACATCAAGACGTCAGCATTAGTCAAGCTCTATTTTTAGTCTGTGATCAAAACAAACTCTTGGTTAATTTTGTGTTTGCCTCTTCCAGCCTTTAGGAATCTAAATACAAGATTGTAAGTGAAATTTTACACTGAAAATACCTTGTCTCTAGGGAGGTGTTCGATGTTGCTGCTGAGGCCGACCCGATGGTTGGGCTGTGTAGACAGAGGGGCGGTGGTCTGAGGTGTGGAGTTAGGGTTCCCGTCATGGGCGTGGGGTGACCTGTGGCTATACAGTTCCTAGGCTGCACAAGTAGATTCATAAAAAGCCCTGACTGGTCTAGAAAACTTGGAATCTGTGTCACGTGCCTCCAGACTCACCGAAGTTCTCCCCAAGTCGCTGGACCAACACTGACAGTATTAAATTAGAACTTGCTGTTTGCAAAACAAGTTGCTCAGTAAGTGTGTTTTGAATGAATGAACGCACATAAATGGTGGCCGTGCATCAGGTTTACTGCACTCATTTTCTGGGAATGGAAACAGACGTGGAATGTTCTGGCTGTCTTGCTCACCTAGCTGGTCAGTCCCTGACACAGGACCAGGTCTGGGAATTATTATCCCAGGTAGATTTCCAATACAAAGGAAAGAGCTGGAGCTGTGACAGCAGAGCTGCCAGAATGATAGTGAGACAGACAGGTATTCACTGATATACGTCAAAGGAAATTAGCTAATTGGGTCCAGGAGGCAAACTCTGCCTTTGCAACGGTGGGAAGAGGGTCTTATATGTCAGTAGCATGTGATTACCCACCCAATTTACATTGGCCTCTTGATGCCAAAGTGATATATTTTTTAGATATTTGGACCTAAATTCCACTGAGTCAGTTACTCTCTCGGTCTCTGCAAAGCTTTCCTTGGAACCCAGGATGCTGGACCTAATCATTTTATTTCTAGCCTTAAAAATACATTTTTTAAAAAGCTTTCTTTCAAGAAAGGAGTGAAAACACCCATAAGCCAAACTTCCTCTTCAAAACTGTGTCTATTCTTGTATTCTCTTAATTAATTTGACATCCGATATTAAAGGAATAGTAGAATTTTCCAAATAGGAAACAATGCTTTTTAATAAACTAGACAAGTTGTCCTCATTGAGTCCATACAGAATTGTTTAAATAATTAAGCAAGTTTTTTTTGGGTGTTATTGAAAGTTTAATAGTGGAAATGAAATTGCCAGGATAGAATGATTCATTGCCTCTCCCCAAATTTTCTGTTTATTTAAAGTTCTAAATTTAAAGTAACTGGCCTTTTTTGCATTCCACATTAACAGTTTAGCAGCATAAATACATGATGAATTTCTCTGAGACAATCTTTTAAATTGTAGGAGTAAAAGAGATGGCAGACATGTGGATGGGGGCAGTCTCACTAACAACATACTAATGTTTGAGTTTCCAGGTATAGAGAGAATACAAAAGGCCAATTAAAGGACTAGCAAAACACTTTGTTTAATTAATTATAGATAAAGGTACATGGTTTGGCTAAATGATTGATGGCTAGATAATTAGCAAGAGAACAGTGAAATACCGTATTTCCCCATAAAAGATGCACCTTTTTTTGAAGAATTTGGGGTCTAAAAACTGGGTGCGTCTTATACAGTGGTTGTAGATTTCAAATGCCATAGATGGAACTGAGGACGAGGCAATATATGAAAACAGTGATTCGTCATCAGACACAGAAGAGGATAAGCTAATGGTTGGGAATTTTGACAGTGATGAGGAGTTGTATGAATTTTATGATGAATAAAACTTGAGTTCAATAACTTTATGTAATACATTTTTTTTCAAATTTCGGGCCCCAAAATTAAGGTGCATCTTATACATGGGAGCGTCTTATACATGGGAAATACGTTGCTTTTTTTTTAAGCCTATATGATTTCCGGGGGGAAAGTTTTAAATAACATGGGGAAATAATATGCAGCTACAACGCAGAGAATGAGCTGTCTAAGAATAACATGTACTTGGGCCAGCCGAGTGGCTCAGTTGGTTAAGAGCTCGCTCGCTCAAGAGTGCGAGCTCTGAGCAACAGGTTCGCCAGTTCAATTCCCGGCCTGAGCTGAGCTGCCGCTGAGCTGCCAACAGATGACAGAATGGCTCAGCTAAAAAAAAAAAAAAAAGAATAACATGCACTTGCGATTTGTCTTCAGATGCAGACTGTGGGTCTGCTCGTGCTGGAAATGATGAATGCAGGATTCCCACGCCCGTTCCTGGGCTTGCAGCTGTTTTAGACTCTTGAAAAAGAGCCCCGTGTAGGAGACTGCAGGTGCTTGTGTGTTTTTTATGATGTGTCTGCTGGCTTTCTTGAATGGCTCCTTTCTTTTCTAGGAGAACTGCCTGAACTCGGACGTGGTGGAGCAGATTTACAAGCGGAACCCCATCCTCCGCCATACCCACCACCCCCTCCACTCCCCACTCCTGCCCCTGCCGTACGGAGACATAAACCTCAACTGTAAGCCCCGAATTCTGCGCGGACTCGCAACACTGTGGCTTTATGTTCCCTGTTTGTTCTTTAGCTTTAGCATAATGGCATTTGTCTTAAAGACTCTCTTAGTCATCATAAATGGGGGGAGAAAGGGGAGGTAAATTATACTCAGATTCATGACAAAAAGCAGGGATTTCAAAATTTGGTTATAGTGAGGTGAGGATTATTATCCTAAAAGGAAAAATGTCAAAGGGAGTCAGAAAATGCCAGCACGCTCTTGCACTCAAAGTAGCCTGAATATCCTAGAGAATCAGATCCTATACAAGTCTTGGATTCCAACAGACTGGCTGTTCAGGAAGCATTTTGTACAATAAAATAGTTCAGTCACATAACAGAACAGCATAACTTGCACATCTGAGTTTTACAGCTTTGTCCAGCTGATTCAAAGGTGCAGGGCACCAGGTGGGTGGGGCACTGTGGCCTGATGCAGCTGTCTCTCCAGCTCCTCTGGTCTGCTGCTCAGAGTGGACCCTCCCCGAGCCCCTTGTGTGACTTCTGTGTTGGTTTTCTTTCCCTAGTGCTCAAGGACAAAGGCTACACCACCCTCCAGGATGAAGCCATCAAGATCTTCAATTCCCTGCAGCAGCTGGAATCCATGTCTGACCCCGTTCCCATAATCCAGGGCATCCTGCAGACAGGGCATGACCTCCGACCTCTGCGCGACGAGCTGTACTGCCAGCTTATCAAGCAGACCAACAAGGTGCCGCATCCGGGCAGCGCGGGCAACCTGTACAGCTGGGAGATCCTGACCTGCTTGAGCTGCACCTTTCTGCCGAGTCGGGGCATTCTCAAGTACCTCAAGTTCCACCTGAAGAGGTACAAGATGAGGACAGGCACCACATGCTCCCACATACGTGTGCAATCTAAAACACGAAACAAACAACGGAGATAGGCTCAGATACAGAGAACAAACTGGTGGTGGCCCGAGGGGAGGGGGCTGGGGGTGGGGGCAAAAAGGGAAGGGATTCAGAAATATAAATTAGCTGTTACACAGTCGTTATGCGATGTAAAGCACGGCATATGGAATATAGTCCGTAATATTGTAATAACTATGTATGGGGTCAGATGGGTACTAGACTTATTGGGGGGTCACTTCGTAAGTTATATAAATGTTTAACCACTATACTGTACACCTGAAACTAATACGGTATCGAATGTCTACTGGAATTGAAAAAACAAGTTTTTTAAGTTTTTAAAAACAAAAGGTATGAGATGGCCTGAGCAGTGCTGTTCGCACAAGTGGTGTGTTGGATTGTGGTTCAGATAAGGAGGTCCTTGATTAGAGGACCCCTAGTGTGGGTCGAGGACCTCCGGGTCAGACTCGCTGGTCACTTGAGCAAGCTTACAGAACAAGTACAGACGTCCATTTTCTCTCTCAGCCACAGAAGGTTGTTTCAGGGACCAGGTTACTTGTTTCAGTGTTGTCCCTAATGTGTAGGACACTGGACAAATGTAATTACCACTGCCTTATGCAAATAGGAAAAAAAAACCAAAGCTTCGAAATTTATTTATTCCAGATCAAACAGGTAGAAACAACCTGATTCAGATTAACTGTGGAACAATTTTCATACGACAGTATGAGGCATGACTCTTTCAAGTATAACAGCACGTCAGAGGTCACCTGGCAGCAAAAGTTGCTCCCAAACATTGGTTCGTTGGGTTGTTTTTTTGGTGGTTTAACTCAACCTGCACAGGCTGAACTGGGCCCTGCTGGGACGTGGCTGCTGTTTGCTCCATTCACCACTAGGAGCCTGCCCACCTCACTGAAGCAGCCCAGCTCCTAGCGGCCAGCCGTCCTCAATCCAGCAATTAACATTAGTGTTTGTCTCCTAGGATACGGGAACAGTTTCCAGGAACTGAGATGGAAAAATACGCCCTCTTCATTTACGAATCTCTTAAGAAAACCAAGTGCAGAGAGTTTGTGCCTTCCCGAGACGAAATAGAAGCTCTGATCCACAGGCAGGAAATGACGTCTATGGTGTACTGCCACGGCGGAGGGTCCTGCAAGATCACCATCACCTCCCACACCACGGCTGGGGAGGTGAGGGAGCGGCCGCTGCACCGCACGCTCTTTCATGCCCGCCCGCAGTTGTGCACAGTGAGATTGGCTCTCATGCCCAGTTGTGATTGGCACAGTCCAGCTGCTTAATACACACAGAAGCAAACGTAACCTGCAACCAACCACATGTATACAGAAAATAAGGCTATGTATTAAAGATGAGTAGAAACACCAACCAAATTTGTGCCAAAATAGCTGAGGCATAGTCCTGCTCATGAGGAGCAGCGGAGTGTCTAGTAGAGATCGCAGCCCTGACTGAGGTCACCCACTATGACACGGGTTTATGATGTCACTTCCGCAAGAAGGTGTTTCTGTTTGCCACACGGATATCTAGAATGTTGGGTCAGGTGAACACATTGTCTTTCTTTTTTCAATTTAAACTTTGTATTGTAAAACAAACTGGCTAAAAGTAGAGAGGGAAACCCGAAAAGCTTCCTGTGTAGGTGGAACATTGGCAGAAGGCGCTGTTGTTGCTCAGCATCATGAATTTATCAGGTAAAACTCAGGGTTCCAGTGTCCATGCAGTTTTCTTCCTAGTAGGGGTTTGCCAGAAATCGGCCCAACCTCTGCCCCGAATACCCTGTGTTCTTTTGGCAAGGAAGACAGAAAACTGATCTCAGGAGAACAAGGGGGAAATGGAACCTTTGAAACTGGGTGACCACACATGACAGCATTAGGAGGCACCTTGAACTCTCACTTTTGCCAGAAGCTCCCTGTGGGCTTAGATCGAGGCACATTCTAGAAGTGCAGCTGTGGGAGCTGTAGACCCCGTGGTGTGTGTTCCAGGTGGTGGAGAAGCTGATCAGAGGCCTGGCCATGGAGGACAGCAGGAACATGTTCGCCTTGTTCGAGTCCAACGGACACACCGACAAAGCCATCGAGAGCCGAACCATCGTAGCCGACGTGCTAGCTAAGTTTGAAAAGTAGGTTCCTTCTCCCTGAAGTGCCGGCAGGTTAAATAAATGGGATTCAAAGCAGGAATGGAGGATTCGAACCTCCATTGCATTTTCCACTCTAGTGTGCATCGGGGTTCATTTCATTTGACCTGTGGTAGGTAAGCTTATTTAATTTGTCATCTCTCTCTACTGGCTGTTTGTTTATTTAGTTTTTGGATTCCTTGATAAAGCCACAGTCACAAATATGACTTATATGTCATGGTTCCTTTACCTCTCAGTCCCTGTTCTACTGATTACCTTGGGATTTCCCGATTCTTAGGTTTTCCCTTGTCCATTAGCTTTGAAACTGGGCTAGTTAGAGACAAGTCAACTTAGAAACTCTTCAAATTGCAATTTTATATCTCTTGGGTTGGTATCATTTGATCTGTGACTCTCATATCCACCAAGTAGCACAAAAGGCCTTCCTGTTCGTTATAAACACAGCCTCCATAGTATTCATGTCCATGTATATACATATTATTGCAGTGTATTTGAGGGTTGGTAAAGGGAGTTAAAAAACAGCCTTTTTTGTTAGTTTGTTTCTTTTGTTTGTTTGTTTCTTTTCTTTCTGTGATCCAGCATAATGCTTAGCTAGTACTAACTAGACTGGGGCACTCAGAAAAAACTTAGCGCAGTTTAATTGAAGGCTGCCTGTTTGTTGTATTAAAGGGAGACCAGGATGATCATACGGTTTCCACCTCTGGTTAAGTAAAATTAGCGAGGAACTCTGATATAAGCCTCACTCTTGTTCTGCGTTCTCTCTCCATTCCCATCTCCACCCACTCTGTTATCTGAGCATGGCCAGAAGAATGTCTGCATCCTTAGAATAAGCCATATAAAGCCAGCTCCCTGCGGGTCCCCAAGGCCCATGTCGTTTTGCTTTCTGAGGCTCTTGATCTCTCTCTGTAGGCTGGCTGCTACATCAGAGGTGGGTGACCTGCCCTGGAAATTCTACTTCAAACTTTACTGCTTCCTCGACACCGACAACGTGCCAAAAGACAGCGTGGAGTTCGCATTTATGTTTGAACAGGTAAAAGGAACATTTAGAAGCAGGTTCCTTTATCAGAGCCGGGGTGAAACCCGTTAATACCCACCCCCCCCGTAGGTTAACGGTCCGTCTTTAGAAATTATGCACAGCAGTAGATTTCCCCGCATGGACAGGGCGGCTGCTTTCATTCATTTGTAGGATGAAACGTAGACACATTTATGTGAACTCCTGTGCCAGGAACTGTCCTGGTTGGGCAGAGAGAGAGAATAAGGAATAAAACATACACGTTAGATGGTCTCAGTGCTAGGAAGAAATTTAGAGCAGCAAAGGGGGTTAAGGTACACTTTTTACTGAAGGCGACACTGGCGAGCAATCCTGGTGGAGGAAGGTGGCGGGCCATGCAGGCATTCGGGAATGCAACTGTCTGCCCCTAAAGCTGTTGACCGGCCTCCTCTTAGGCGCACGAAGCCGTCATCCACGGCCACTACCCGGCCCCTGAAGAAAACCTCCAGGTTCTCGCAGCGCTGCGGCTCCAGTACCTGCAGGGCGACTACGCGTTGCACGCCGCCGTCCCGCCTCTCGAAGAGGTTTACTCGCTGGAGAGGCTCAAGGCCCGCATCAGCCAGTCCACCAAGAGCTTCACCCCGTGCGAGCGGCTGGAGAAGCGGCGGACGAGCTTCCTGGAGGGCACCCTGCGGCGCAGCTTCCGCACCGGCTCCGTGGTTCGGCAGAAGGCGGAGGAAGGGCAGATGCTGGACATGTGGGTCAAGGAGGAAGTCTCCTCCGCGCGAGCCAGCATCCTGGACAAGTGGAAGAAGTTTCAGGGCATGAGCCAGGAGCAGGCCATGGCCAAGTACATGACCCTGATCAAGGAGTGGCCTGGTTATGGGTCGACGCTCTTCGATGTGGAGGTGAGATGGGCGGGNCGGGTGGGCGGACAGGCGGCTGCTGCTTCACCGCCAGGGGTCTATGGAGAACATCAATCCGTTGTGACCATAGCCAAGTTCATACGGAGGGAGGATGCGATGGGACGCGGCTCTCTTACCCTCTTTTGTTTGGGCCCCCAAATCTTACCCATAACACACCCAACCACCAAAAGTGTATTTTTTCCTTCCTGTATAGTAAATGCTTTCATAATATTAGGAGTGAGTGGAGAGTTAAGATGTCACCTAGTCTGAAATAACTTCTGCTCTTTCTTACGGGAGCAATAGAGCCAATAAACACTTGTAAAAATCTGCATTAGAATTTTTTAAAAGTATTTTATAACTATGTACACAAAATTAGAAACTTTGGATGTACTTGGGTTTTACATTTTTATTTTTTCCCGTGACTGTTTGCAGAATTTCTGTTTCACGATTGGAATTTAGTTATTAGCATCAAGCCAGTACTGGTTCACACTTTTTTTTTTCAGTAGACCATTCATTTTTTGAAAGAAAAGCCTACTGATGGTCTCTAGAACAGGCGTGGCCAACTGCAGCCAGAGGGCCAAACCCTGCCTGCCTCCTTTTTTGTAAAGAAAGTTTCACTGGCACACAGCAGTGCTCAGGCCCTTATGTATTCTCTCTGGCTGCTTTGACTTGAAAGTGGCAGAACTGAGTCGCTGTGGCAAAGACCACTTGGCCCACAGAGCCTAAAATATTTAGTCCTTAACAGATCAGCTTACCAGCCCCAGATCTAGATGAGCTTCCATTTTGCTTATCACAATCATTAGCATGTTATCTGATGACCTTTAAATGTGATGACCTTTAAATAAGGCTCTATAAAAATCTAAATAGTGATTATATTTTCCAAGATCCCTTCATGGGGTTCACTACATGCTGACTTTGGTTCCGTTGTTCCGTTGGTTGATTCAGTTACACTAATGCGGATGCTTTGTCCGAGTGCCTCTTCTCCGCATCACTAATGTACCCTCCAATTTGTCCTGGTTCAGATCAGCCATAGGTTGCCGTCTCCTACATCAGGGCTCTTATTTTTGTCCACTGATCCGTGCAGGAAAGTCTGTCATTAAACCAGTGAGATCAGCTGCTGCACACAGCGGGTCACTGCTGCTCCTTATCAAGAGATGTGTTTTTCAGAAAGAGCCAAAACTGCTCAGCACAGAGGGATTTGGAGACTTTTCCTCTGTGATCCTAGATTTTGTATTTGAAGGATAATCGTCAAACAAAGGCTGGGAGGCAGAACTAGAGCTGGAAGAGCAGACCTGGCTCAGGAGGTTTGCTGGGAGTCACTGTCCAGTTCTTCCGCCGTGGCCATCTCCATGTATGCATGTAGCTAATTCCAACGACCCATAGAGGGGTGATGTCCAGAGGTGGCGAGTCAGAGGTGTGGTTTTTCCAAACTCAGAATTGACCAGTCAGAAATCAAGACAGCCGAAGAGATACCCTTTCCCGCATTTCAGCTCCCCCAGCATAAACGTGCATGGAATGTGTTCAGTGTTGTGCTGTGTGCTCGCCTCGATGCCTGTCTTATGTTTTCTGGGTTTTGTGTTTGTAATTGCTTCATGATCTAATCCTTCTGTTGCCTCTTGCCCACAGTGCAAGGAAGGCGGCTTTCCCCAGGAGCTCTGGTTGGGCGTCAGCGCGGACGCCGTCTCTGTCTACAAGCGTGGGGAGGGGAGACCATTAGAAGTCTTCCAGTATGAACACATCCTCTCTTTTGGGGCACCCCTGGCAAACACATACAAGATCGTGGTTGATGAGAGGGAGCTGCTTTTTGAAACCAGTGAGGTAAGAGGCAAACCATTTGTGGCCTTGACCACACAGAAAAATGACACCCCATTTCCTGATGCCTTTGACTAATTCTTTTTGAATACTTTGTGTGAATACATAGGAAGGTAGAGTATGGTGGTCCCTCCCCCAGCTGCAGGTTCCTCGCAGGCCAAAATCTGATAATCCCTAATTTCCTCTGGATACTTTTGCTACAGAGAAATTTGGTTCCTTTTTATCAGGGGGTCTTACCCATGGAGGAAAGGAAGAGAAAGAGAAATGATATAGAAGTCCAAGAAAAAATACACAGTTTGGCAATAGTGAAGATTGGTAGACAGTGATGGCAGTGAGACTGAACTCGGCCGGGTCCACAGAGCAGGAGCAAGGGATGTAACCACCCTGGGCAGAGCTAATTCTGGCTCACAGAATCACAAAAAAGATGCCTCTAAATATGTACGCTATCCGCCCCACAGCTTAAAATGTAACAATCATGATGATAACACAAGAAGCCATCGAGGTCTTCACATAGGGAGCTGCCAGCAAGCAGAGGTGGGAGTGGGACATCCACTCGTGCTGCCCGTTTGGCTGTCAAGTACTGGAGAGGAGGGGCTGGGAGGCAGTGATCAGACCTCAGATGTGATGTGGAGGCGGAGGGGCTGACGGGAGGTGTGCAGTGAGATGGAGAGAAGTGGGGGCCCCTGACTGGAGGGTCCCAGGCGCCAGGCTGCCACGTTTGGTCAGCTCCAGTAGACAACGGAACTGCTTAGGGATCTTTGTGTGTGATGTAATGACGGTGCGTTTGCAAACAGTGATGTGGGGTGGATTTGCGGGGAAGGGGGAACAGGGAGATGGAAGCCAGTTGTCTCTTAGCAGGGACCCAGCCATGAGAAGCGGGTACAGCGAATGGACCCTCAGAAGGAGATGACTCCAGATCGTAGCTGGCATGGAGCAGAGTGGGGTGTCTGCTCCTCTCTGCCCGTCCTTAGAGCCTCGGTTCTGTTTCTTCAGCTGTATCATAAGGAGTTGACTAGAACCATGCGATCCAATCTTTAAAAGCTGTGATTGTGGGCTCTGTCTTTCACCCTTATTTTAAGTGGGGAGAGTAATCCCAGGCTCAGTGATACCGACACACTTTAGTCTCATGGGGTGGGGTTTAGTTTGGTTTGGTTTTCCATGTTCAAAATCCAAGTTTTGCATCAAGCAAAATTGTCACTTTTGCATGCAAGAACCACTAGGTGGCGCCCACCATTTGGAAAAGCCACAGTTCCCTTTCTCCCTGACTAGGAATCTGTAAACGCAGGTAAATGTTTGGCTTCCTACAAAACTTGAGCAGTGGGGTCGCAGGCAGGCTGGTGGCTTTTGCTCGGAGGGCTTCTGGTTAGGCTGGGCCTGCTGACTGCAGCGCAGACCGGTGACCGCCCGCCGATTCTCCTTCCCTGGGCAGGTGGTGGACGTGGCGAAACTCATGAAAGCCTACATCAGCATGATCGTGAAGAAGCGCTACAGCACCTCCCGCTCCGTCAGCAGCCAGGGCAGCTCCAGGTGAAGGCGGGAGTCCATGTGTCTTCAGTGTCTGACTGCGCCCCCCTGTGACCTCAGCCGGCTCCTGCGTGCCGAGCCCGAAGCAGAGCTGCCCAAGCTCTCCGGAAGCCTCCTGCAAGGGAGGTGTCTCCGAGGGACCTTTCGCCCTGTCCACTTCAGTGATCATGTATTAAGCTGTCAACCTTAACCCAATTTCCAAAGCTTTACTACTCTTAGATGACACATGCCTTAAAGAGAGCGGGAAAAAAAAAACCCATGCTGCCTCCAAAGCAGCCAGAAGTGCCTTAACTTGTAGAACCAACACTAGTGGACCTTAAATGTGCTACTGAAGGGGAATGCTTCCCCCCACTTTGTTGGGGAGACTGACAAAGCTTGGGGGGGGCATTTATCCATCAATTATGCACTAACCTCCCAGCCTGATTTCCCGATGCTGAGGGAAGGTGAGGGAGTGGGGAGGGGGACAGAGGGACTGCAGGGGACAGTGTATTTTAGTTGGAGTGCTGCTGGCAGCCTTCCTCGTGGACACGTATTGCCTTTGTTTCTTTGTTTCATCTTTTAAGTAGACGTGCTTGCCTGTGCATGCATGTGGTCACAAACTCATCACTTTAATCATGGTTTCATGAGCATTAAAAGCAAAGGGAAAAGGATGTGCAATGGTGTAAACAGTCTGTCTGTATATTTTAATAGTTCAGAGTTATAGTCTCCAGTTGTTCCTTTATAAAGTGGTTTTATCAATAAACCAGAAGCCTGGCATTTTCTGTCTTTGCTGTATTTCGAAAGCCACGTTCGGACTCCCATTTTGTTGTACGTGTAGCCGAGTCTGCATTCTATGTCTGCTGTATTATAAACAGGTGTGCAGCCTGCAGGCAACTGTATTTATAAACCACTCTTAAACAGCTGGCTCCAAGGCTGTTTTTAGAACTATATGAAGTCGTTTTGGAGTCTTTAGTTTCTAAAAGATTTAAGTTAAAAAAAACCCCACAAAACTGTTTCCTTGAAGGTGAGCTTGTATCACGCTGGGTAGATGATGATATAACCATGTTGAGGATGTGGGGGGAGAGGCTGCAGTCCGTGAGCGAATCTTGATAAAGAACCCTGACACTAAATGCTGAGGCTTTAATAAAATTCACGTATTTTATCCCAAGTTTATCACGGTGGTCTGAAAAAAGGCACCTGTAAATAAATCAGCATTTATGACCGGAAGAAAAATGGTCTGCTCTTGGACTTTTATTTTTATATGGAAGAGTTGTAAAGACTTAGGCCAACTAAGTCTGCTCACAAAGAAAAAACAATTGCCTTATCCCTACGGACAGCCATGTGAAATCATTGTTTGTTGGCTCAAAACAGTCTGACAATAAAAGATATTAGCTAACATGCAGTGTGTTTTCTTTATATGGGGCGGCTCAAAATACCACATGGGATTTTGTTTTGGTTTTAATACTTTTGGCTTCGGGGTAGCTAAGCTGTGTGTTTCATGCGCTTAATCACCAGCTCTAAAAACAGACGTGTAAACATCTCGACTACTCTTTTAGACAACAAAGCACGTCTCCAAGAAAGCCGAGAAGGTAAAAGACAGTTTCATGAAATTGCAGAAATCTTAAGGCCTTGAAGTGTGTGCTTATGGCGAACAGTCTCCTTTTGCCCTGCCCCCCAATGTGCCTGATGGCGAAATCGTGACCCTGCAACCTGCTTGGTCACTGGAGCAAAATCCATGGTAGGCCACTTAGCCACCTATTTACCCAAAGGACCAGCTGGGGACACCGTCTCACTGGCAGAGGCCCCCTCAGCCAGACGGGGCGTGAGTGCCACCGGTTCCCCAGATGCTTCTTTCTCTTATCACCACTTATCCTTACCTCGGTCATGTCCAGGAGTGACCTCACCCCACTGCTAGGAGCTGGGAAGTCACCTGAAGCCACGCACCTGTGGCCTGGAGTGACGAGAAGGAAGGTGAGCTATGACTCGGATGTTTTGTTGTCTTTGTTTTCATTTCAGGCCCAGGGAGAAATTGGCAGAAGTGCCTTTTCTGGTGTGCACCGCTTAGGAGTCCCTCTGTGACTTCCTGTACCCCAGAAAGCCACCCTAACCCCCCAATTATCTATGAGGAAATGACTCAAGCAAGGCAGCATGTCAGCCCCAAAGCTGGGACCTAGGTCTCTCTACACACAGGCCTTTACACGCCAAAGCTTCATTTTAATGTAACGTTTTATTTGGAAGGACAGATTCAGAGGCAGTATGCTCTTCGCCTGCTCTCCCCAATGGTAGCATCTTGTGTGACCGTAGAAAAGGGGCACAACTAAGAAACGAATATTGAGCTTCCTCCATCCACGGAGTTATCGCACCGGATTTACACACACTCATTTGCGTGTCATGTTGGTAGCTCAGCGTGGTCCGTGGAGTAATCGTGACTGTCTGCTTATTACAGAGAAAGGTGTCAGTATGAAACATGGCGTCACTCACTGCACACTTCAACAACCTACTTGTATTTTCATGTTTTAATTTTTTATTTTTGGAAGACAGTACACATAGGTGGGGTGTTTTGTTTTTAACTAAAATGGTAAGTGTAACGTTACTTTTTCTTTCAGCTGTGGTTCCCCAGTCACCCAGTTTCCTTCCCCAGAAACAGCTCTTTTTACCCTTTTCTTGAATATCCTCAGATATATTTCAAGCATCGTATGCTCACATATATACTCCCTGTCTCTCTTTTAAAAATATGTACAAGCATGAATTCTCTTGCACTTTGCTTTTTTTTTTCCAGAATAATATTTTAGATAGGATTCCACATAGTGCCTATAGAGATGCCTTATTCTTTTTTGTATGCAGTGTCCTAGACAGCTCTGGGAGGGGGAGGAAAGACCACCTATTTCCTCTCTAAATATAATTCAGAAATTTAAGAAGGCAAGAAACCTTTTAATTTATAAGACTTTTTTGCTCAGCACATTGTTGAGGTTATATATGTGCTATAGTAAAATCCTGTATTGTCTTCATGCACTGGTATCTTTATTTAGTAAACTCGAAATATTTCTGTCTGTTGAATATAAGTGATTTGAGGAATGTAAATATTAATCCTCACCCATCAAAAGCTTATTATCTAATAGGGAGCAACAAGTGTATATAAAGCTAAATTTAACTAGTACATTTATGCCGGTTCCATACAATTGAAGAGAGAAGTGTGCATGATACGCTGGAAAATATTGGACCTGGGTTCTAGGTTTGGCATTGCCATTTTCAAAATATATAATTTTAATTTTTTAGGTCATAGGTGAGCAAACTACAACCCAGAGGCCAAATCTAGCCCTCCACCTGTTTTTGTAAAGTTTTATTGAAAGTGAACACTACGTGTTGATGTGCGTGTTGTTTGTCTATAGGAGTGTTTGTCCTACAATGGCAGAGTTGACTAGTTGTGACAGGACCCCCTGCAAAGCTGAAAATTATTTCTCTCTAGTACTATATAGAAAGAGTTTGCAGACCCCAC